CCCCTTCTCACTAACGCTTTATGACCACAGGAAATCCCAAGACTCAGAAGCAGCAGGCATGACCGTGAGGCAACCTGAAGTACCATCCTAGGAGAGTTTAACGCACTGCGCAACAGCGATACCAATTGTGTAGGGCACTCGCCTCATCTTTGGTGATGAGGTGAGAAAGCACACTCCGACTTGAGAAAAAGGTGGTAATTAATTTAGTTAACTCTGAAACAGTTTTTCTTTCTGAAACCAAACACCTGTGAGCTCTCACAACTCCCCCCTCCCCCAAAAATCACGCGGAGCCAGCAAAAGAGATAGTACTACAATGTAGGAGCCCCAATCAACCCGCCCTTTGCATTCATCTCAATTTCTCCCATCTGCAAAAATATGATAAGATTACTGATTTTTTTATTTTTTAAACAATGAGAGATGATGATGTTTCTTTACAGCACAACACCCACAACTCCTCACTACTGAAAGTTTCCAAAACAGAAATAACTGCTGAGACTGAAGTGATTAGTGCTGCTCATATTATTACAAGAATCTTTACAGCTTTGGACCATGCACTTGTCATCTACCTCAAGTTCTATTTTCTATGTCTGAATTCATACAATTCCCAGACCAAACTGTTTACATGAGATTTTTAAAAAAGCTTAAAAAAAAAATCACGCCAATCCAAGTTTGTGAACAGAAAGAATGTAGTTTTTCTCCTAAAGAGAGAATATGCCCTCAAAGTTCAGGCTATCAGTTAGGATTTAGGAGATGTGGGTTCAGTTCCTAGTCATTATTTAGATGCCCTGCAGCAGCATATACCTTATCTCCAGCCTTACCTTGAGTAGTATGATTACTAAATTGAGTTTCATCATCTGAAGTAGAACTGAGCGTTAATCCCAAGTCTTCTATCCTCTTCTTCTGCTTCTTTTGGGGGCTGCTAAATTCAGGTTCTGTCCTTCTCTTCATTTTTGCTGAAAGAAGATGATCGCGCTCGGTAAACATTAAGCAAGTTAACTTTCTCCTGCATGCTGAAGGGTAAGGCACAGCAGCATGGTGGCATAGATCATTTTACAGACTATTCAGTATTATGCCTCTCAACTTAAGTTTGTTCTAGGTAAAAGCATTGACTACTTTTGAACCTACCTTTTTTAATAGCTAGTCTAACTAAACAAACATGAAATCTATGCAGAAGCTTCCCTACTACTGATTACTTGAATTTCAAATGATTTCTACAACCTACTTACCATTAAATGCTAGTAGATGAAGACAACCCAGACATCAGCACTCAGATAACTTAAATATGTGACGGTTGGTTACTACTACTGAATCAAAGATTCGTTTTATCCAAACACACCAAAAAATGAGAAAATAAGATCAATCTAAGGACGAACATGCAAGGTGGAACCTATTTCTCACAAGAGAGTCAGAGCACCTCCAACCTCACCTCTGCAAATATTAATTAATAAAAGAGCTTTCCTACATGACTTCTGTCGCAGAACTTCATTAAATATGTGTACTCAAGTTGGGGGGTGTTTGTGTTTTTCACCAGGAATCACTGGCAAGATATCAAGCTTCTGGATGTGGCTGATAAACTTTGCATAAACCCAGAGAAAGGACTAACACTTAAGACGGAGTTAATAGAAGCTAGCTGGGAAGGCCTGCAGAGGACAAGAACCAAGGAACAGGAAAGCAGGTGAAAATTAAAGAGGCACAGACGCCTAGAGCACTAGCTAATCCTCCCTGCTATTGATAAACAGCAATAAAAACCTGTTGGTGTTTATTATTCTACGTAGGAATGCTGGGCTAGAAAAGATGCCCCAGCTCACCGACTCGAACCCTCTGTTATCAAACTTATTTCCACAAACGCATACAGGGCAGCTGAAGACCCATTCCTTTATTCATCCCCACGACTCTGACTGCAAAATCATCCCACAACTTCACTGCGCTACGGCTAAGACGTCTTTTCACTTCCACCAGAAGTTCATTTACAGCCAACGCATATTTATCTGCTCTTGTGTCGACTCTGGGGTTTTTTTCCTTGCTTGCTTATCTCTAACAAACCGAGAGCAATCTTCTGCTTCTTCTGAGATACTCTCTTATGGGGCTAACACGCTCTCAGCCCACCACAGCTAGCCTCCCCTCGAGATCTCCACCCTCCTAACCCTACCAGGGGGTCCCTTAGCGCACCTGTTTCCCCGCTAGACCTCAAACTACGCAAAACCAGCCGCAAGTTAGGCAACACCCCGTCCCTCAGGAGCCGGGCAGCCGCGAGGGAAAGCCCCTTCCCAGCACAACCCGCAAGGGGTTCCGCGACCCGCGCTCGGCAAGGGCGCGGCGCCCCTCCGCCCGCCCTGCCGGCGCCCTGC